CGTGATTCGCATTTTATACACATATTCCAATATGTGTATAAAATGCGAATCACGTGCCCACATTGAAAGACGTAAACACCCCTCAATCCACGTTGCACATAGATTCAGGTAATTTCAGCAAACCATCAACCAGTGGTCGAATCGCGAAATCTGGTACGAGGTATTGATGTGGTCTTGCTATCACAATTAGGCTATCCGTGTACCACTGTTTTTCAATCGATCAAGTCCTAACTCTGGTTACGATTTAGTGCGTGAGGAGCCTACAGTTTGTTTTTTGTTGGAGTAACTAACCAAATCGCGAAATTCCTATTGATTTATTCAGATACCTCGACAACCGGTTACGAACAAATGCCCTACCATCCACACAAGTCGCGGCAGATGGATGAAATCCGCGCTCATAGACTGATCGAGTGATCGAAAGACATGTCGGGTTGTTGCTTGATCCTCTCTTTCGGTCGGTCGTGTTTTCTATGCAATCACAGATGAACTCGTCAGCACATTTGATTTATTTATTTTTTTCATTTCATAGGTAATACAAAAGCATATTCAGCGCAACTCCACTATGCATGCGTTGCAACGTGGAAGCACGTTGGGTATGTAGCCGGGTGTACTGTGTTCCGTTCTGTTATCAAAATCCGTAGTTTCATAAAACATACTGCCAACCAATGTTTTCCCAAACGCTTTTTTCTCTCAAACCGTTGGACAACACGCCGTTCTATGCCGGGAACCAATTAATCCACACAGCATGTAATGCGGAACTTGATCGACGCTGTGAGTGTCTCAATAAAACCGGGGAACAACCGTCTACTTTGATCAGCAGGCACAATCTATTTCGAACCTCGACCACTTAGGTACACTGTGTGGGTCTGCGAATTGTTCCTCAATTTTAGGACGCTTTGGGGGAACGGCTGCAGCTTTAGTGAATGTTTCCGAACAGCTAGCCCACTTCGATTTAGCTATAGTCCCAGGCATTACAAATTACATGGATAAAAATAAACGTCAGCCATGTTGTTGCTGTCACGCGCTGGGTAGCGTCAGTTCATACGGCCCAGTGGTTGGTTTGAAATAGAAGTTTATCAAATTTGCCAGACGAGTGGGATGTCAGCGACAATTTATTCTGGTTTCTGATTTTCTTATTGTCCTCAGACATTTGTGAAGATACTATAGGCCCGAGAAGATATTGACTTCTCCAATCGGGGGGAGGGGAGGCAGTGAATGAGAGATATTTTCAGAGAGATTCGGAACATGTCTGAACTGTACTGCGACGAGAGAGTATCCTCCAACCAATCGGTGACGTCTGTTGTGCTTTCTGTTGATGCCCCATCCGGTTGAAATAACACCCTAATTAAAGACCCATGAGTAAACTAACCTGCAACAATTTCAAATATTATGGGGAATTCCTCTTGTTGGGTAAGAAAATTGGGCCAAGTAGTTGGAAGCCGGGGATTGCGTACCGCACATTCGCATTCACCACCCTATCACATGAGACGTTATTCAATTTTAGTTGCTACGATATGTTGTCGACAAATCAAAATAGCTAAATTGGTATCATGTGTTCACCACCGGCCCCATAAACAGAATCCAGTAGACAAAAAGGAAATCTCGGAAAAAACGTCTTAGTGTTTTGTAGGTAATTGGATTTGAATTTAATTTTTCTACCCGAATCATAGATTGGCATTGCTTTGTATTTCAATATCTCTGTTAAGCTCTTTGTCGAACACACCTTTCAATGCTCGAAAATTTGAACTTGAAACAAAACGAATGGTTCCGATCCAGACAATCATGGCCTCTACAGAATTTCGCTCACCAACCCTGTCAGAATCTTGGTCGTTACATTGTGTCCAACACGGCATTCAGTTTCAGTTTTTACAACCAATAACCATGCACTTTCGTGCGCCGGTTTTGGTTGCCCATTTGGATAAAAGAGCGAAATGAAGATTGGAATGTCGAAGCAAATTCAAGCGGAAGATGGGGAATACATATAGAGTGGTTAGAAAAGTAACGAGTGAATGCACNCCCAGCCATATCACTCAGTGTAGCTAACCATCGGTGATCATCATCCCGAGGTCCCCAGCCAGGGAGCCTAACGGCAACATGGCATGTGGTTTATCGAGTCATCGTATTGCGACTCGTGTTCGCTAACCGACCGACCTAGGTCAGTTACCGTGATGCTCGTTTGTTCTCATGTAAAGCAAAATTGGCCGACAAACGAAGGGAAATTGATCTCAGCTTTAGCACACAAACTTCTCCACTTCCTTCGGTTTTTTTCACACAGTGGCATTCTGGGTGTCAAGATCTTCATCCAAATCGCTCTGATCGTAAGGGCCTGTCCATTGCACTCAATGAAATCTGCTAAGCCCAGTGTAGCTGTTCCATCATCCCAAGCCCATTACCGTGGTTTCAAGGCCCACTGCATAACTCAATCAACCAACAGCTTGGATGCAGGCAATCCGGCCATCTGTGTCATCGCGGCGGGAGAAACAACTACATGGCACCACATGATCAGAAAGGCTATTTCGTTGATCAGTCGGTAAGTCCGTTCAGGCGCTCAACACTCAGACCCGAAAAACTCAATTACAAAGTGGTCAGCTGTGCCTCCTGATTCCGCCGCTAATGCGACCAGTGTGTCATTCTGTAACAGTCACCTACATTCCGTAATTGATTGACTGTGTCGACCACGGTAACTAAGCTGTCCCCAGAACATCTCACTGTTTTTTTTAAGTTGCAGTTATCACAGCTGTACACACACACACGCACACATACGAATCCGAGGGAAACTGAATGCGTGTACGCATGTGTACCAGAGCTTGGGGCAAACTACACAGATCTGGACCTTAATGATCTGAAATGTTTGACTACTAATTATATCTGGAGTAGTAAGACTGAAAATGCGACTTTATTTCTTTGATACTAACTTAATGGGGTGTATATATGTATATTCCGTTAATTGTTTCAGGCAAGCAGCACTCAGACTGGTTGAAGTTCGCCCCCCCCCCGCTGCTGTGGTAGGAAATTCGGCAGTTGGTTCCAAATGTGGTCGAGGAAATTGAAAGAAGAAAATCAGCATTCAATTCACGACTGTCAAAACCCCGAAATACATTCGTGGTAAATGGAATTCATTAACCTATCCTTGACCTCCAGCTAGATGAGCAACAGGCTGCATGTGTGACTTTTTCTTTAGACAGGTAGATTATCTTAACCGGTGCGGAAGTTCTCGTCCACATTGGACTGTGCTGTGTAAATATTAGGTTTTCAAACCTGTTCCACTCGTTTTAGCCGTTTCCTGTAGTCGTGCGCGCCAATCGAAAGAAATCCATAGGCCCCGTGTGCATGGTAAAACCCTATTCCCCTACCCCCAGGTGACAGAGGAGGTTACGTGATCACACGAAAAATGTGTTCGGCTAAGAAACGGAGCCAAACATGATGGCGGTTATCTATGGTGGCAATAACACATCTGTTCAGGACTGACTAAGACGGTTTTAGGATATGCGAAAGCAGTGAGGATGTTCTTTTCATGCACTCCTAGTTGCACAAGTCAACGATCGCTTCTATAGATTCTTTTCCCAGCATGAGATTTATTGGCTTCAGCGAACACCGGTTGAATAATCAGAACAGATCTGGGAACACCCATTGGCTTGTGTGTGTGTGTGTTTGTGTTCACTGACAGCTCGATTCACAAGTACCAGAGATAGAAATGTTTGTGATAACCAACAAAGAGCACTGGACAGCTGTTTCGTCCCGTTTGAGACTCGTCAGCAATGCGTACTTTTTTGTTGGCTATCATTAACATTTCTATCACATGTAAATGTATGAAATAGTGGGGAATTAACGATCTCCCATGGAGTACAACCCACACACAAGAACCTCAAGAGTGCCTGGTGCTTCTGAACGATCGAATAGTCTAACACAAGCTTGATACTCTAAATTGATGGAGCCATTCGCACAAGGTGATGACCGTCGATCGTGTAGCTCATGGGTAAGGGGTTGAAGTCCTAGCCCCAACATTCGCGGTTCGGGTCCTGACAGGGACGCAAAAAGTACTCACTGCTGACGAGTCCCAAACAGCTGTCCAATGCTCACAAACATTTCTATCGCATGTAAATGAACATTTTAATGGCTGAAAACGGATTCACAACTCCAAATGCGGCCTGGTCGTGAATGACTGAAAGAACCAATCAGGGTCGATCCCAGTTGCTTATGAATAGCCCTCAGAAGATGTTGCTTTCTTCTTTTCCACTTTATCACCGAATTCTTGAGTGGCTCCCTAAAAAGTGTTTCATCTATCTTTTTTTGTCATTGTTCACAATTTGATACAGTTCTCAAACAGAACTCCTAATAAGCTTGAATTTTGTCATTGAATAACTGTGGTGACCCAGGCCTACGTGATGACGCCTACCCTGAAGCGGCGCGTTACAGTTTCATGACGTTTACGATCAATTAAGTTTGAATGCTGACGTCAATGACACGTGCATGGCTTCTGAATACATGTCATTGATGGATGGTGCCAGCCAATCCAAGACAGTGCAGACAGAAGCAAAATTATTCAAGCAATACTGCCATCCCATTTGTGGAAGCCCAGGTAGCCGATAATCTCCCTTTGTAAATATTATTTAATCACCTTCATTTCTTCCAATACATGAACTACTGCTTACTACCATTCCTGTGGCCCTTTCCTCGCATCTCGTTCTCGTGGGATATTGTGAATCCATACCATTGTGGTCCAGTGCTTCTGAGATCCAGTTAGTGATAGCTGATCATTGATTCGAGTCCTGTGATTCATATTGCGTGGTTGGCGTTCCCAATTTCGTGCGTATAACTACTACTAATACAATCATTAAAATAACTCCACTACTTGGATGCTCACCGATTATGATCACCATTCATGATCATGAAAAAATAGTAAACAGATTCCAACTCTCAGAAACTATTGTTTTGTATTGCAACATACTGTGCTCTTGTCGTGCCGTTTTCACGAAGTTAAATCACCGATTGTCTTGTCTTTGTCATTTTTGCCCAATCTAATAATAAAATGATAAATCTAGGGTGATCAATCACAGAAAATCTCATGACAACTGACCCCATCGTGAGCCCACTTTTTTGTTTAATCCGTTGTTATGTAACATGAATCTCAAGATCTTAGCGTTCATTGAAACAATGTTAATCAAGTTACGTAATCAAATTTTTTGTGTGCATAAACATCTCCCACACGATCAGTCAAATAACCATGGTACTGACTTCCGCCTCTCCTGACTTTTATCCGTTGAACCACTGTAGCTGTCATATTTGTTGCGTAAATAGCAGATTGTTTCACGTTCTATCGACTGGGGAAATAAGCAGAAAAATGTTGAAATCTCATTGTTATATATATGTTGTTGCCTATACAAACCGTCAAGTGTTGCACAGGGACCCGTTGCTTCAGTTTCGAATAGACCTCTCTCTCCATATATATATATATATATATATATATATATATATATATATATATATATATATATATAACGAATTGGATACAGGGGACTTTATGTTTTAAAGGAAATCAAATAACCATTCATTGATGTCGTGATTTGGCCGGACAACCCAATATACTTCGTGATTTTGAAG